AGGAGGCGATGACACAATAATATGACATAATATGACACCATAAAAGGAAACACTGGCTTAAGGAATAAGATACTTGTACTCTAGTCCTGCTTCTGAGCTTGCTGAATGACTTTGGATAAGTCATTTGACTTGTCTGAACCTCAGATGCCTTGCCTATAAAAGAGTAGGGGCTGATCTAGTTGATCTCTAATGTTCATCCTTCCAGGATGAACCTTTTATATTTTATTCTTCTCTATATCCACCTGGTAGACATAGCAGTTTAATGAATTGTGTATGTACTCTCTCTGTTCTTACTGTGTCAGTCAACCAATCAATCAATTAACAAGTATTTATTAAATACCTACTATGTTCCAGACACTGTGCTGGATACTGAGGGACCAAGGCAAAAAAATCTGTCCTTCAAGAAGCTTATGCTCTTTTAGGAAACACACATACATAAATAAGGACATACAAAATAGATATAAAATAAAAATACAGATACAAATTAATTAAATTAATTTGGACAGGAGAGGCACTAACAACTATAGGAATCAGGAATTTTTTTTTTTACTTCCACTTCTTCTGATTTTGATTGGGTGTAATAAGGGGGCTGTTTGTTTTCCATAGCTTCCTGTCATTTGTTTCTGCCTCATTTTACTTGTGTCTATACTATAGTTTCACTGAGATTCCAATAATGGGTAAGGGAATGAGCAAGACTCCTTAGGTAGGTCTTTAACATTTGGGTATATTACAGAATCTTCTAGCAATTTGGCCTCGGACAATTCATTTAACTTCATTAAACCCAATTCTTTGGTTATAAACTGGGCAAGATAAACCTTGGATAATCTCTCAAAGGGTGGTTATAGAGAAAATGCTTTGTGTGGACTATTAAATGCTATGTAAGAGTGAGCTATTACTCTTATTAGTTTTGAATTTGCCATCACCAACAAAACCTAAGATTCCCAAATGCATCAAATTCTGTATATATTCTGGGAGGGATTGCAGCCCAGCAATTCTAGTAAGTAATTATTTATATGTTTTATAGCAGTTGAATTGAGGTCTAGAGGGGCCATGGAAGCATTGGCCCATCTATTGGTTATAACCAGTCTAATAGGTTCCTGGGAGATCACATAGGCTCCAAGTCTTGAATGGAAGTTCAGCATCGCCACAGCAGATACAGATGGCCTCAGTTGTCCCAGATCATACAGAGATACTGACTTTGATTTCTGTGGTCATCTCAAACTGCCATGTTAGCCCTTCTTCAGCAACCCAATATTCTCTCTGCCTTAGATTTTGGAAAGATGTGGAATGGAGAGGGCATTAGTGCCTGCCCTGTTCACCCCTCAGGTGGGCCCCATAACTGAACCAAAGCCAAGAAGAAGCCATGCTCGGAACCAGGCTACAGGTTTGGCATGCCCTGAAACCACAGACTCAGTACAGCCCTAAGTGTGGTTCATTAGCTGATTCCAAGTTAAATAAACTCAGCTCCAGGAGTTTGCTCTGAGTTGTCATTCAGTGAGAACCTTATAAATAGAGGCTCTTACCTAACAATTAGGGAATAACTCCTAGTCCTTTTATCTACAGTAGAAAAAACCTGGGGGAATTGCCCCTTTTATTTTTCTTCCCTTAAGTCCTGCTGCCAAAAGCCACACAGCCTTGCATTTCTTTCACTGTGTTGTAAAAGTCCTTGGCTTCATCAGCAATCATCTTCCGTTCAGGCTAAATTTGTTCTTTCTTATGTGAAGTAGAAATCAGGAAAACACCAAAATTATTTTAAGCAAAATATCAAAATCGAAATAAACCAACATATGTCTATGAAACAAGTATAACTCCCAATCAAAAATAAATACAACTTTCATAAATTCCTTTAAATATTTCAGCATGTGGAATCCAGGCATTTAAATAGATGGTGGGTTGGCTGATTGGATCACCCTGCCCAGGTGGGCTGCCTTTTCTTTAGAGATCAAGATCTCAATTGAGAAGTCTTGATCTTTTGAAAATAGCCTCATTCATGAATGTATTCTCCTCCAGCCACTGCAATAAGGGAAGAAAAACTATAAATGACATTATGCTCTGCCTGCTAACCTTGAGGGGGAATCATTTTGGATCTCAAGACTTGAATCTTCTCCATGGCTTTGAATCTTTGAAGTTATTAAATTTCAAGAGCTATTTCAATTTTATAGGTCATCTTATACTTGTAGGTGGTCCTTGAGGGTGAAAACTGCATACTCAAATGTGTTGTAAATGTTTAAGATCTGACTGCAGCCATTCTATCCTCAATCTAATCCATTTTTCATACTATTCACCAAGTAATTTTCCCAATGCATCAATAGGGTTGTGCACATGATTTCAATAGTTCCCAGGTACCACTGTAATTAAATTTAAACTTGTGACTCTGAACTCAAGGTGCTCTAGAATCTGCCTGTATTTGCCTTTCCAGGCTTATTTGCCTTTTGTCTCCATATACTCCCTATATTCTTTGTCCCCCATTTCCTCATGACTGCTCCCATTCCTGTGGTTTTGTCTATGCTATTCCCCATCCCTAGAATAAACCATCCTATTCCTGCCCCCATCTTCCCTTCTTGAAGTCCCTCACTTCTTTCAAGGCCCACTTCCATAAAGTGTTCCCCTTTTACAAGATGATTTCTCCCTTGAATTGCTTAAAGTACTTTATACTTAACTCACTTTTCTTTGTAGCATAGATAATTATGTATTTGTCCTTCCCTTTAGATGGGGAGAGGAAGTTTGGGGTACGAGGACAAAAAGCATTTATATATTGCCTACTCTGTACCAGCCAAGTGCTGAGTGCTTTATAAATATTATCTCATTTGATCCTTATAACAACCCTGTGAGGTAGATGCTGTTATTATCCTCATTTTTCAGTTAATGAAATTGTGACAAGGATTAAGTGACTTGACCAGGGTCACACAGTTAGTTAAGTGTCTGAGGCCAGCTTTGAACTCAGGTCTTCACAGCTCCAGGCTAAGCACTGTATTGACTAGGCCACCTTGAGAATAGGGTTTAGGTTATATTTTTCCTGTGTTTTGTAGATGCATAATAAATGTTTGTTATATTGAACTGTATGGTGTAGTGGATAGAAAGATCCTTAGAACCCCAACTCTGCAGCTTATTGCATGTGTGATCTTGGGTAAGTGGCTTCATCACCCTAGGCCTCCATCTCTTCATCTGTTTAATGAGGGAATAGTAATAGATAATTTCTAAAGCTCATTGTAGCTCCAAGTCTTATGATCCCATGGATTAAAATTGCTAGAATAGCTTGAATTTTTTAAAGAATTTAAGTCCAGTAAATATTTGTGTTACTCTGCTATTGATATACTATTGAGGAAGTTTTCTGGCACTTTCAAGGTTTCATTTTGACCCCTGCTCCTCTGTAATATTGTTTTTATCAATTTGACAGCAGAGCCTACAAACAAATGGATTACTTATTTTGAAAAAGTCTTAGCCATAAAGTAGTTTTCTATTGCCAGGTCATCTTACTAGGTGTGGCTTATTCTCAGATATCTTTTTTCAACCTCTTGTAACATGGTCATGTATCGCTTTTGAATTAGAGACATTTTTAAAGGCACAGAGAAATGCTATGGTTATGAAGCATCAGTAGGCATCCTCACTGCCTTTAATGATGGCTCCTTAGGCTTCTGAATTCTGCATTATGCTAATTTGTTACTATGACTTTTGTTAGTTTACCAGTTACCAGAAAGTTTCTTCCCTCCTGGTTCTTCTAATTTAGACCAATTTGGGAATGGAAAAGTGTGTTAATTTTTCAATAAATCTTTAAGACACGCATCACTGTATTTTTACAAACTTGTCCAGATGGCTCACAGCTAATTTTCTCTGACATAAGTAATCACAAAAATCTAACCCAAATCTGGTACATAAAGTGACATGTATAGTTGGTGGAGAAATGCAATTCCTATAACATCTGAATGTTTTCAAAACTAATGCTTGCTTGCTGGCTGACTTTTTTTTAATCTGCCATTCCCCCAGGCCATTTTCCTTTCTTCCTCAATGAATTTAGTTCCTAGCTCATAGACATCTTCTTCACCCCAAATCCTGCTCTCACAGAGTCATCCTCAATTCCTCACTCTCATTCACCCCATATATCCACCCAGCTGCCAATTCTTATAGTTTATATCTTCACAACATCAGTCAAATATTTTCTCTTATCCCTACTCACACAGTCATCCCCTTAGTTCATTCATTTAGTCAATAAGCATTTATTAAGCCTTAGAGTTCAAGTCTTCATTACACTTCACCTGGACTTTTACAAAGGCTTCCTAATCAATGTCCCTCCCTTAAATCTCTTTCCACCTCAAGATGCCCTCCTGTTGAAACAATTTCCTTAAAGTTCAAGTTTGGCTTTGTTACCTATCCTCCCTTCTCTAGTCCATAAGCTCCAGGGATTCCTTATTCCCTCCAGAATCAAAGAGTTAAGTTCATTGGCATTTAAAGTTCTTCACAATCTGGCTTCCTTCTGCCCTTCCAGTTGTATATTTTACTCTCCTTTACATACTCTACGATCCAGTCATACTGGCTAAGGTCCTGTTCCTCATCTGGGATATTCTTCCTCCCATATTCTTGTCTTTATGATGGCTATACCTGAAATGTTTTCCTTCTTCGCCATGACCTCAGAATCCATGACCTCCTTCAAGACTCAACTCAAACACCACCTTTGATGGGAAATCTTTCCAAGTGCCCCCAGCTGCTAGTGCCTTTCCTCCTAAGGTTGCCATCTATCTACTATGTATGTATATTGTACCTGCTTATTTATATACATTATTTTACCCCATTAGAATAAAAGCTCTTTGAGGTCAGGAAGTACTTTTTTTTTTCTTTTTTTGTATCTTGCAAACTTAAGACAATACTTAACATAGTGGGTGCTTAATAAAAGTTTGTTGGTTGATTGATCAATTAATAAAAATTAAAACTTAGGATTTCCCTGACATGACTTAAAAATTCAAGGCCCTCTCAACAATTAAAAAATAAATATTTTCTTTTTACAGTTTGAGGGCTGCAAGAAGGCCTTTTCGAGGCTAGAAAATCTCAAGATTCACCTGAGGAGTCACACAGGAGAGAAACCATACCTGTGCCAGCATCCAGGATGTCAGAAAGCCTTCAGTAACTCCAGTGACCGAGCCAAGCACCAGAGAACCCATCTGGACACTGTAAGAATGGACAGAGTTTTTCCAATTTAAGATTTAATTCCCCCGTGTTAAGAAACCCTAACATGGCAGCTAGAAAGATTGGGGGTAAGGTGGAGGCAAATTCAATTTATGGTCTGCATATTGATTATGCAAGACATTGCCCAAGGCATCAGTGACAACATAAAAGTGGCACAATCACATATTCTCACCCTTTTTTCATACAGATTCAACTAAAACCTTAAAACTAACTAATAGGAAAGCCTATATTGAATCAGCTCTCTGAGAACAGAAAGGGAATTTGAGTGGGTATCACATAGTAATTTAAATGTACAAACTAGCTGGTAGAAATTGTCATTATCATTTATGCACCAAGATGGTATACAACACATACACAAATACATATGTATCATTATGTGTGTTGAATGTGATAATTATAGAAACGTTCAGTCATTTTTCAGTCATGTCTGACTCTCGATTCCATTTGGGGTTTTCTTGGCGAAGATATTAGAGTGGTATGCCCTTTCCTTCTACAGCTCACTTTACAGGTGAGGAAACTGAGGCAAAAAAAATAGATTAAGTGACTTGTCCAGGGTCACAGAAATAGTAAGTGTCCGAGGACAGATTTGAACTCACAGAGATGAGTCTTCCTGACTCCAGACCTGGCACTCTATCCACTGCACCACCAACTGCCCTAATTAGAGAAACATAGTAGCTTAGATATTACCTCTAAAATACTCTGATTGTATGACCCTGAGCAAAGTCACTTGATCTCTCAGTATTGTAGGCAATTCTGTAAGACTCTAGGTGACAGAAAAGATACTAACCGGCATTGCCAGAAGGAACTTCTTCCCCTGGGACTACTGGCTCTGTGTATTTTCACCAGCTGTCCCCCATACCTGGAATTCCCTTCTTCCTTGTCTTGACCTCCTGGCTTCCTCTGAGCCTCAGCTAAAATCCCACATTCTTTAAGACGCCTTTCCCAGTCCCCTTTAACGCCAGCACCTTTTCTCCAAGATTATCTTCAATGTATCCCGAATATATTTTGTTTATACATGCTTATTTGCATGTTGTCTCCCTCATTAGACTGTAAGGTCATTGAGAGTGGGAACTGTTTTTGCCTTTCTTTGTATCCTTGGTGCTTAGCATAGTGGCTGGCACAGTGTAAGTTAATAATTAATAAATACCTGTTGACTTCACTTGAATTGGGGATTCCCCACACTAATGAAATCACAGGTCAAGACCCTATCCCTATACCTTTTCCTTTAGGATTTTATCATATTTTATTTTTCTGAATTAAGAACCAGATGAAGGCTCCCTGAAGCTTTTCTCATTTTCTTCAGGCATGAATTGAGTGTGTGAGTGACTTTTTGAGAATCACTATCGTTGGCTTTAGACATTATCGTTGTTTCTGTCCTTAGGCGAGCGCAAAGGATCAATGTGATATTGATGATGGATGATGACAATGATGACAGATAGCATTTATATAGTTATTTAAGGTTTGCAAAGCTCTTTGCAAATATCTCATTTCATCCTCACAACAAGTCTGTTAGGGTAGAATAGGAGTTCTTATTATCTTCATTTTTACAGATCAGGAAACTGAGGCAGAGCTTAAGTGGCTCTGGCATAATAAGAGTTAGCATTCATATAGCACCTTAAGGTTTGCACATTATCTCATTTGATTCTGGACAGTTCTATGAAGTAGATGCTATTCTTATCCCCATTTTACAGATGAGCAAACTAAAGCACTCAGAGGTCAGGTAACTTTTCTAGGGTTACACAGCTAAATAAGTGTCTGAGGCTGGATTTGAACTCAAGTCCTTGTGACTCCAGGCCTAGTGCTTATGTCATTGGCTGCATTAGTACTTCAAATATTCATATTTCATTAATGTGGGTGATACACATCAAAAAACCTTCTGTGCCTTCGTAGATAGTTATCTGTGAGTTGTTATGGCTGAAAAATTTAATCCCTCTGATCACTTGAGAGCCAACTGTTTGGGGATGAGCATCTGAATTTAGCCAAGCCAATCCTCATATGAAAGTTCTTAATGGCCAAATGCCGTCTAGGTCAGTAGGTAGAGCCTTTCTAGCTTGGTAAGAGCTTTTAGTTTGCTTTCCACCTGCATGGACTTGTAGAACCCAAAATTCCATCTCCACCACTATGAAGCATTAAAGCTGGCTTTAACAGGAGAGTAATATGATAGTAGCATAAAGAGGGAACAGCTAGGTGATGCAGTGGATAGAGTGCTGGGCCTGGAGGCAAGTCTTGTCACCTTGTGTGCCTCAGTTTCATTATCTGTAAAATGAACTAGAGAAGGAAGTGGTAAACCATTCCAGTATTTTTGCCAAGAAAATATCAAGTAGGGTCACAAATAGTCAGACATGACTGAAATGACTGAGGAAAAACAACAACAACAAAACATAAAGAGGTAGTGTCATGTAATGGCTTAGAAGGCTGGCTTTAAACCAGGAAGACTTGAGTTCAAATCCTAATTCTGACTCTACTGTCTGTATGACACTAAGTAAATCACTTAATTTCTCAGTGACCTGGGAAGCTAAGACAATGAGTTGGAGAGAAGGGAATTGGCTTGCATTGGTATATAGAGTTTCCTCACTTGGGAGTTCTCCCATAAAAGCAAAATCTCAGGTTCATGGTTGAGCCCCAGTAATAGTTGCTATTTGTATAGCATTTTAAGGTTCGTGAAATGCTTTACACACAAGATCTCATTCGATTTTTGTAATAACCCCATGAGGTAGGCGGTATAAGTACAACTACCCTCATTTTGCAGTGATAGCATTCAGCTAATTAATCCTAAGGGCACAATTTAAGTGTGTATCCCGTATCTCTGCAGCCACTTGAACTTTGAAATACACCCTGTGAAAACAATTGCTTTTCAGTATTATGCCTTTAACTCTCTTAATGTTCTGAATGTTCTTTATCTCTCATCTTCATATACCTTTCAAACATCTCTGCTTATTTTTTGAATTGCATTGATATGCCTTTGTTATTTGCTTTTCCAATATGCATGGCATTCTCCTCATATGTGACCAGTTATGATGATATGTAATTCCACTTAACTTAACAAAAGCATCAGGATAAATGTATTATACATATCGGGTATCTCTTATCCCACATTCTTGCAAATAATGTATTCATGACAGTACTTTTTCAGTGTTAATATTCTGGTGTCTATTATTAAACTATAGCAGAGCTTGAGTTTTAAAAAGATACTGTTATTTCTACACACCTTCTCATACATATTTACAATTATTCTGATATCATCATTGACATATTTATTACATTTTTATTTGTTCTTATTTGTCACCAGTGATAGCAAAAGTATTCTAGTATACAAACATTATATGCGTTTGAGGGGGGATATTTCTATCTAGAAAGCTTTTAGATATAGCCAGGTGGAGCAGTGGACAGAGTTCTAGGCTTGGAGTCAAGAAGACTTAAGTTCAAATTTGGTCTCAGACACTTAGTGGCTGTGTAACAAGCAGCAAATCAGTTAACCTCTGTCTGCCTCAGTTACCTTTATCTGTGAGGTGATAATAACAGCACCTACTTACAGGGATATTGGGAGGTTAAAATGAGATACTATGTGTAAAGCACTTAGTAAAGCTTAAAGTGCTGTATAAATACAAGTTTGTGTTATTATTCATTATGCCACATGTTCTAACAACATGTTGCTAAAATACTTATATATACATACATATATGAATATACATGCATGGAAACATATACATATGTAAACCAAACATATAACTATATTAAGCATATACCACATGCAAAGAATTGTGCTAGGTGCTATGGAGAGATACCAAAATCAAATATGATATGGCCCCTGTCCTCATGGAACTTATAGAAGGAGAGCATAACTTGGAATAAAACTATTACACGCAAATAATACATAAATGCAGAAGAAAGGTCCAAACCAAGTACTGTTTGAAGTATGGAGAAGACTGAATCATTGCCAGCTGTGGGCAGGGGGGTCAAGGAAGGCTATCCGGGACAGATGACATTTGTGCTGGGAAGAATTTCAATAGACACAGTTGTTGGTAGGTGGTTTCCTGCATGAGAAAGAGTATAGTATCAAAAACAGGAATCAGGCCAGTGCAGGGCCGAAGATTCACACGTGGAGAGTTCAGGTGAATGTTGTGTGATATAGTGCCAGGTTAGGAAGAGCCTAGAACCCCAAACTAAAAAAGATTGATCCTTATTTAGCATCCGTTCAAAAAGTTTTGATTAGAAAGAGTGATTTGGTAAGATTTTTGCACTGGGGAGATTACTCCGGCAGCAATATGAAGAATTCATAAACAAAGCCAGTTCGAGAACCACTGATCTAGAAACTTCCTCTGCTCATTGTGCTATGAAAGTAACCACGGCCCATCCAAAGGTGTGCCGGGTGAGCACATGTAGTAATAAGTGCTGCCCAGCTGGAAAATATTGATTTATGGGGCCAGTGATGGACTATATATTATTTGATCAAGTCCAACCTTAACTAAGTTGGAAAAATTTCACCATCAAGTTGGCCATAGGGTAATGAATTTTCCCACCACCACTACCCATAAAGACCATCTCCTTAGGAACTGAGAGATTGGCCGTGTTCATAAGAAGAGGCAGCACCCACAGTGGTAAAATCACAGATCCTTGAAGTATAGAAGGAAATATTCATCATGCTATAATATTTCTAACAAAGCATTAGTCCAAATAAATTTATACTATAAAAGACTAACCTTTTATCAGTCCATCAACAAGGTCATCATTTATGAGACCTGTTTTGCTCATTTAAAAAATCATTTAATTATTTCTGAAAATGTTTGTTTTGTGGATGCCTTTATATCCAATTAGAGGAAAATATTTTCACAGTCTAAAAAACATCCTAAAATATATGTTTTCAGTCATCAAACTACAAGTTAAAATCTGAATGAAAAGGACAGATATTCAGGTTGAACCCGGAGGAGAGGCATATATATCACATAGATTGTAAAATAGTATCAACTTTATCTGTCTAAAAAAAGATTAACTACTTTCAGAATTAGACAAGTGATCTGGGGCTTTCTGTAACTGGGTTTCAGCTAAAAGATTGCAGGGGTAAGCAAAGAGAAGACGAGCATGTAAAATGCATCCATGTTGTACATACATGGGCCCAAGTGTTTCTTTGACCAAACTCCAAAAATAAACATAAATGATATGTTGACTATCCACTGCTGTGCATTGTGTAAATCTCCTCTCCTCTCTATCAATATAGGTAGTAAAGAGATGATTGATTGCATAAATATAGACATCATCCTCAAGGTCAGAATGATTGCCAAATGGAAAAGAAACAATAGGCACATTTTTCTAAAACAGCCGTGGGAAATACTAGAACTAGATCTGGCTTCCAAAAATTAGGCTCCTAGAACTATAGAGATGGAATGAAAGTTGAAGATCACCTAGTACAACTCCATTATTTCACAGATGAGGAAACTGATGGCCAAAGAAGTTAAGTGATTTGTCCAAGGTAACAAATGAGATAATATTTGTAAAGTACTATGTTAAATAACTTAACTAGGCTAGTTAGAGTAAACAATGATATGGCTTCACGATTCGCTGTGAGATTCTACCCATTCTCTGAATCAAATGTAACCCACTATACAGGAAGGAAATCATATATAGTCTTTCCGGAGTAGGATAATGTTATCCCCATGTCACCTGGTCCTTACAATACCAAACATGCAGATCAAAAATGGAAAAACACAGTAAAATAAAGCATAGATGTTGTCTTTACAGAACAACAGTGGAGTTTAGATATTGGAAAAGAGTAGGATTTTTGACTTGTTTTTAATTTGTATTTGTACACTGGGCATCTTGCAGAAGTGAACTTAATGCATCATCTGTCAAATCTATCAACTATTTAGTTAATTATTGACCATTTCCATGAAGTGTAAATACATTTATTTTCTAATTTCCTGTACTAAGGACTAGCAAAAAAAATTGACTACTAAAGGCCCATTGTCTCAAACATTTACTATAACCTTTCAATACAGTTGATACGTATATTGACAGGGATGCATTTTGCATTAAATTTATAGTACACTTCAGAGGTCATGTCCCAGAAAAGCAAAAAAATTTACACTTTACTGAAAGCTGACTCTATGTAAACATAATTAGATGGGACATCAGCGAAAGAGCATCTAGCTTCTGAAATAGATGCCTCTAAGGTCTTTTCTAGTTCTGACATGTAATAATTCTATGATTCTGAGTAATCTTAACAACTTGTTAAGATTCCCTTACAAACAGCAAGACCAGTTTTCTGACCCCGTACAACTCACACAGTTGTGTAGGTGGTCCATGGTGAATAGGAATCATCAGGACTTTGGGTCACATCTGAGTCAACCAAGTACTTCTAGATATTACCCTTGTAAAAAAGCAAAATTCTTTTGCAAAACTAATCGTCTGAAAAGCCTGTAAAACAACCTGCTTAATTGGGTCCTGTTTCTCATCTGATACCTTTTATGCCTGTTTTTTGCAACATACGTTTTTTTTTCTACTCATACTACACTAACTTTTCCCTCTTGATTCTCTCTCTCTGAATCAGGTCTCTTCTGTAACATTTCACAGTCTTTTCTGGACTATACTACAACTTCTTTCCCTGACTCACTAAAGAATGTGTGTTTGCTAGTTTCTGACTATGCCAAAGATTACTCTCAGGGCAGCACAATTGTAAGTACAACTTGACACACTCCCTAATAATTCCAATGTTAAAAAAAAAATGTCACAGGGTTTCGTGCTATGTAGGTTGGTGAATTGTAAAGTAGATTCTTAACAGTGATCAAAGATTCTCCGTCTCTTTGTTTTGGGTGTTGCTTTTCCCCAACAAACCCTGCTTTCCTTTTTTGACCTGACATAAAATTACCAGGTTTTTCTACATGGATTTTGTGTTTATTATCCAGTATTTGAGATCAGAGTCAGTGACAATTCATGTTTTGGAAATCAGGAGGCTTAGAATGGATTTTTCCCTCGTTTGCCTCATGATTTAACCACAGCTGTTTCTTTGTTTCTTTTTTATTTAGAAACCTTATGCATGTCAAATTCCAGGATGTACCAAACGCTACACAGATCCAAGTTCCCTAAGAAAGCATGTCAAGGCACATTCTTCCAAAGACCAACAGGCAAGAAAAAAGGTAATTTTTCAGAGTGCTGCCCAGTCAGGAAAATATACCCTCAGATACTGTTATAGCATTAGCACAGCGCTGATGCTGGCCATATTTAGATTGCTCAAGGTGTAACGTGTTTTAGATTGTTTAATGAGAGAAGTCTTCCATGAAGAAATGTTAAGCCTACTGCTTGTGTACCTAATACATACAGATAGGAATCTGTGGGATTGATTCATTTGTAATGAAAATCAGAGAAAATGATGGTAGAGAAGTCACCTGAGTTGAAAAGTCACCCTGTGCCAAAAAAAAAAAGAGCTGAATATTTAGTAAAAGATACAAATTAGGGGAGGATGAATCCCTGTTAGACATGTTCTCATAAAATATTAGTTAGTTAAAACTGTTCCATTCCTGATAATGTAGGAAGCAAAAGCCTTGAAAGTAATAAACTTAGTAAACAATACTACAGTCCCTCCCTCCTACCCCAAACCCCCATCTCACTTCAGGCCAAGAGAACAGCCCTGCCTGTCATTTCTATCTGTACAAATTATTTCTGACCCCCACCCCTTAGTATTTTCTCATCAAGAGGAAATTGAAAAGAAATTCTTCTGTCATGGCAGCCAGCTGTAAAGACTGCTTTATGTTTGTGGGCATGTAGGACATCTGACATGTGTGACAGTCAAAAAAACTCAGACCCTTAAGGTTCAAATGTCCTACCACAGCAGTAAACTGTGTTGGCCCATTGGGGCTGATGTTGGGCTCCTGGAGTGTTTGACTAGTGATGAGTTCTATATATGACTTGTAATCTCAGTGATTGCCAGTCTCTTCTGAGTGTCATTTGAGTCCCCTCTAAACAACCCAGAAGGCAGTCTGAGACTCAACTCGTTTCAAGAGATTGAACTGTGTGGCCAGGGAATCAAAAGACGGTTTCAGGTCAGCCCTCTTTCTAGTCAGAAGCGATGAGTTCTTTTACGCCTTGAAATAGATTTAGTGCTTTTATGTTGGTAAAATGCTCTACAATCCTTTGTATTGTTCATTTTCCCTTCCCAAAGAGTTGCCAGCACAAGGTTAGGCTGAGTGCTCAAAGCTATGACCTCTTCTGAATGAAGTAGAGTGGTGCCTAGGTGCTGAAGAATTTGATAGATGTTCTCAGTCACGTGGGCACCCACCCTGGGAAATGAGGTACAGGAATCATTTAAACCTCTCTTCTTGAAATACTGTCAGACCTACCTAGCCCAGACCCCATATGGTTAGTATTTGCAATATTTAGGCACAGACTGGACTAAAATTTTGTATTTTCCCTGGAAAGATAAAGATTGTGTTCCTTTTGCATTATCAGTGAGGGAAATGATTGGCTCAAGTAAATTACTAATGCAGACAAGAGTAAAAGAAAAGGATTTAATCCACTTAGAAGCACAATCCACAGCACAAATAATTGCAGAGAATGACAGGGAATCTAGCAGAACTGCTATTTGGGTAGCCTCATGATGGTGATTCACATTTAACCATGAATAAAAACTGCCTTCCTTTACAAATGTTGCAGAATGTTGCAAAATGTTGGATGCTTCACTGATTCATGCTGGCCTTCCTTCATTGTTAGTTAGTGGGATTTTACTATAACATCAAGTCCATAACACAAATGACATTGTAGGTACTAGCTCAGCCCATTTTCTTTTTCCATTGAATGAAAGAACAGAGTGAATGGGGGAAAAAAAGGCATTTATTAAGTGCTTACTACATGTTAGGCATTGGGGACACAAATACTTTGAGTAACTTTTGGTGTAGAACACAATATATGATTCGTACATAGAAGAACATATGGGGCAGGGACTGCCTCAATTTCATTTTTATATACCTAGCCCAGTGCCTTATATAGAGCAAACATTTTATACTTGTCAATTAAAATATACAGTGCTATTTTCTCATACCTAGAAAGTATCATGGATTCAAAGAATTCAACAGCTGGAAGGGACTTCATAAACAATCAAGTCCAGGGACTCTTAACTCATTATGTATCATGGACCTCATTGGCAAAGTTTATGGTGGACCCCTTCTCAGAATAATGTTTTAAATGCATACAATAAATAGGATTACAAAGGAATTCCATTGAATTACACCTTACAATAATTACAATTATATTGAAATACAACTACCAAAATATTTTAAAAAAATACTCAAACCCAAAGTTAAGAACTCTAGTGTCCTTATATTACCACTGAGGAAAGTAAAGCCCAGAGATACTAGGGAACTCCTTTAAGGTCACCCATTTGGTCGGTGACTGAGCCAAAACCAGACCCCAGTTCCACTCATATTTAATCCAATGCCCTTTCTAACACATCACAGATTCCTCTCTTCTCATCTCTTATTCAATTTAAAAGATGCGGCAGAAGGAGACAGAAGACTATCAAATGGAAAAAAGGGTATCTTCAGGAAGTATTTTTGGTTTTTTTTGTCCTCATCCCAATTTCTGTGTAAGGGATCAGCAGATTTTGTTTTGTGAAAGATGCTCACAACACAATTTAAGAATAACAGCCTTTTAGGCCACAAAATAGAGTTTGAGGGTCAGTTCTTAGCAACTTTCAAAAGGCAATTTAGAGAACACAGAAACAAACTTTCTAGGACCATTAGCATAAAAGGATACAAAACCATGGTGTGCTCTTCATATCGTCATATACAAAATGAGGTAGTCTTTTGTGTGTCATTGCTACTGTTTTGTTCATTTCTAGCAAATGGCTGAGCTGGACTTGGCTTGTTATTATTTCCAGGCCAGTGCTTACTTTCATTTTTTTAACCTGTTCATCTACCAAGGACTTAAAAACAAAAATAAACATTAACCCCAGGAGGAACAAGGCTAATACATTTGACATCAGTCAATTTGAATTTTCAAACCTTGCATCGGCATTCTAACATATAATGTTTATAAGGTACAATGGAGTTACTGGACCTTCGAGAAATTCTAATTGCTAACTCACATCATGCTTTGGTATTTGAAATATTTCCTGGCAGTAATAATAAAAAATGCAAGAAACAATAAACCTTTTAAGGCAGAATTAAGATTATTTACGACTTTAATTAAAATAGAAAATTGGCATCATGTCAAAAAAGCCTTTACAAAAATGTGAATTCATCAAAAATAACCATAAAAATTCCAAGGTGATAAAGGCATAGTGGGGTAATAGTTCCAGCCCTAGGGAACTGTTCTGTTGAAAAGAATGAAACCCTTTACTGTCACACCCTGTTAGTCATGGATTCGTTTAATATATCCTGCCTGACTGCCTCTAATCCTCTTTTTAACCTCCCCCTAGACACTAAATGACATTATTTTGGTGTCTTAAGTTGCTGGCTTTATGAGACTGCACCCTGAAATATGTTCTAGAGACCAGGCACCTTCAGTCACAGGAAAAATTTGTAGAAGTAGGTGGCAGAGATATCACACATCTAAGGATGAACAGTTCCCAACCATAAATCTCTTGTTTTTGTCCCCACACCTGTTGAAATCCATCTTCGGAACCCAGTGTCCAGTATTCATCCCATTTCTGCCAAAATATACACCTATTTCATGGAAGGAGGTGAAATAAAATAAGAAAAAGCCTAAAATTGCAGTTAATTGGTATTCAAGCTGTGCAAAAATATTCTCTTCTGCAGAGGAATTGGGATAATTTGACTCATTGCATGCAGAGTAACTTTTCTCATAGCATAATATGTGCACACCCACACAGCTCATCAGCTGGTGTGCAGACTTCTTCCATGTAATCTGCTTTGCAGATCTTGAATCCATTAAATAAATGATCCACACAGGTAAAAGAGCATTGAATCCCAGTCACCAGCTATGTTCTCAACTGGGCATGGAATTGATCCTGTAGGATGAAAAGCAGATTTGTCTTTCAATTCAATATGCTGAAGAGAGGATGAAAAAAGAGACAATTCAGGCAATGAACCACCTGAAGAAATTTTTCAGGGCTACAAAAGCTTTATCAGATTTTTTTTTTTCATTTTTACCTTTGAAGATCCATAAGCAAGGGATGTTTCCTTCAACTCTGCCTTGTTAATTTTTTTTTTAATTAAGAACAAAAGTTCCATGACTCTTTGTTAGAGATATTAAGAATGAGTCTTCAGTTTGTGTGATGCAGCTTTGGGAGGGATTCTTGCAACACTGACCTTCGATCTCAGACAATGAATACCACCTCATTTACATTCAAGGATGCCACGAGGAAAGCCACAAAACACAGAATTTAAAATGTGTACAAATACACCTAGTGTTTATACTTGCCATCTATAGAAAACTAGCCCCAGATATCCTCTAGACCAACCTCTAAGGCAGAGCAGTTATAATCCTAGTATCTTCCTGCCTATTACTCAGCTTCCCACCACTTGGCTGGAGGACTGTAATCACTAACTTTGCAATCTATCACCCTCTTATTAAAATAGGATGTGGGTTCACCCTATTTGGGGTAATATGTATGCTCTTGAAAAGCTGTGTGAAAATTTAGGGCTGGTTAATTGGATCATATTTTTAATAGGCTAGAGGAACGAATTATTTAAAGTAATCTGATGAATTCTTTGGCAAAGTAAATAATTCTTCTGTAAAATAGTCACCATACAATCAATCATATTTATTTAAAATGGGATGCACCTGTATGAGCCAATGGAAATAAGATCATCTTTGAAGTCCCTTTCAGCTCTTTTATCTTGTGATAATTCGTGATAATTTTCATTAAAAACAATGCTACATAGTAGACTTCTGAATAGTACACTGGTTTAGGTTTGATTAATTCAATGGTTTACAGCTAATGGTGGCTTTCAGTGAAAGCCTATGATACACTAGGCTGTAAAAGACCCCATGATTCCACAGTTCCCCCACCCTCAAAAGCAAGACCATGTCTGAACTCACAGGTGCCCTCTTCTGGTTTCAAGCTGCCAATACTGCTCCTTGCTTACTTGAGTGTGAACCTTAGCTTCCCTGCAAGGAGGAAGTCACAAGGTTTTCTGCACCTTCTCATAATCCCTGATAAAAATATCTCCAAACTTCT